TAACGTTAAATATCTTTTTAGTTATTGATTATAAACACCTAAAAGTAAATAATTTTAAAAAGATAATTTAATAATCTTATAAATGAAAAAACAATAAATAATAGGGTTTATCTTATTACGGCTAAACTAATAACTGAAAAAAATTGTTAACTACATTATTAAATTCCTCGTAAAAAAGTGCCTGTGTAATGTCTTTATTTCAAATCTGTCTCTTCTATAACAACGAAGATATGAATTTTTTTTAGATTTCGCCAAAATGTCAACTTTTGTCTATAAGTCGAAAACAAAAGACGATAGCGGGATGCGGTTTTAACCAATATTATTTTCTCAAAAAATGAGCCTCAGAATGTATCACTCGTTTTTGGCTAAACCTTTTAGTTTCGGAGATTCCCTATTCGGACATCCAAAATGCAGCACCCTGTATTTTCAAAACAAGAGAGGGCTCCGAGCAGACCCGTGCGGTGGTACACTTCGCCGCGAAAAATAGTGCTTGGAACCGGAGGATCGGCACACAACTCATCGTAATGAAGCCATTAATTAACTCACCGCATCCAATTAGTATCTGTTGCTCGGCTTGAATAGAAAAATATTTCATAGTTAAAAGCTCCCTAGGTCGTTTGATATACGTTTTATGATCTCGTTGGCGAAAGAATCGATAACGACAGAAGACGTTTGTTTCAGTTGCAGGATGGTGTTGGTGCTGAACGGGGTGTTGCAGGAGGAATGCCCACCGGACACTCGATCCCTTTATCACGCTCATCCCGTGTACAGGGAGACTGCCGCCCAATTACTGGCCATACCGAATAAGGTCATCGGCCCTGTGGGCTTGCTCTATGTACAACAGAGGGAATTTGCCGCCACTGTGCCACACGATAGTGAGTTAAAAAACTGAAAATTTGAGAAAGGTATCAAATCTGGTTTCTTATTACAGAAAATGTCAATATTTTGGGCTCGGATGATGTGACCACGTGTCTGATCGTCGTCGTGAGACACTCAGGTGAGTGATTTTTAAATCTCTTAATATTTTTTTTATTAATTTACGATTTCTGCAAAAAAGCTAAGTTGACTCAGGTTGTTATAAAATATTAAAGAAATATTTTGTAACAACCTGACCTGCTTTAGCTATGCAGTTTTTTAGCTATAATATTTTTTTTGTGGAGATATTTGACGGATATAATTATATTAACAACCGATTTATTTATTTATTTAAAAAAATGTGTAATTTAATGTTACAGTTGTTTAAAAAGAAATTAAAAACGTTTATTACACAAGACGTATTTTTATATGTGAAAGGATATCCGGGATTCTTGAAAAAATACTGAAACTGAAAGCATATTTTTTTGATGTTTTTTATGATAATTATTTTATCACATGAAAATTTTGTACATTTTTTTGCTCAATCACAAGACAAATACTGGAAAACAAAGCAGTGATGATAGAGTAGTTTTTCATGAATAATGAAAAAATGCCTTAGACTACATTAAAATTGCTTGATCCTGAAATTAAATTGGTTAAATTAAATTATGAAGAAATGAAAAATGTGAGACGTGTCAGTTTTTAGAAACAGTGAATTTTTAACAAAAATGTAATTATTATAGAAGCAAATGCAATGAAGTTTTTATTTTTTATAAGCTTAATACATATTAACAATTATGTATTTTCTTTTTATTTTTATTCCTTTTACATTAAGATTATTATGTCTAAACCGTGGAGGGAGGTCCTAAACAAATATTGTGGTTTTAAAGATAATGTATCAAAAAGCGATACTTTTTCTTCCAAGTAGAAATTAAATTAATCTTTTTCATTTGTTTTTTGTAAAAAAAATGTATAAATGTTGTAAAAAAATTCAAGAAGCAATACTGCTTAATTTTAGTACATATCAAAATTTTTGTGTTTTTTATTTAGATTTTTTTTTTTTTTTTAATTTAACTAATAACTAATACAAAATTGTAAAAACAGTTGAAAAAAAATGTTTTTTTTTTCATTTTTATCAAAATTAGATAATTCAGAAACAATAATACAGACTGTATTATGAAAAACGCCTCAATGTGCAATTGTTTTTTTTTAATTCTTTTGTAAAATTTAGATCAATCTGTCCGAGAAAACGGTTTGATAGGTCGACTGAGAAATTTACAGAGATATGGGGGATACATTTTAAGCTCTAATAACACCTAGAAACATTAGTCTCCCCATCAATGTTTGTGAATACACATCAGTAGATTTACTAAAACAACGTAAAAAGCTACATTTTTTTGAACCAATGTTGAAGGTGAAAAAATTTTTTTCAAAAATTATTAAAAGGTTCATGTAAAACATTTAGTCCACTTTTTGACACTTCCCATATATTCTCTATTGGTTGCTGAGATATCGATGATGAAAGGCAAAAGGATTCTTTTTCAGTCAAAGTCAGATATTTCAGCGACAAATTGATGTAAAGAGAATAAAAAAAGCAAATTGAAACTGAATAAAAAGATTGACCTAAGTCCGTGGACCAAAAACAAAAAAAATTTGCCAAAAGATCCCAAAACTGGCACATAAAGCTTCAAAATGTTTTTTTTAATCTAGATACCGATTTTTTTTTTTCAAAAATCATCAAGAAATTTAGGAAATATTTTTGTTCTCTTTTTTAGAGTAGTGTGGATTGCGGAAAAATAAATTAACTGCACTAGTGGTAAAAAGTGTAGGTAGTAATAAAAATGTGAGAAAATTTTCTTTAAATTAGGAAAAGGTCAAGTACTAATTTTTTCAATTTTGTTTTTAATAAATTTTTTTGTTTGAAGAATCCTGGAATCCTAGAACGAACGGTAAAACGGCTTATCTCGGTCTTACCTCTGGTCATAAGTCAAGATAAACTATCTATTAAACGTCTGCTTGTGCAAAAATGATTAATTAGAAAGCTTTAGAATAATTTACATTAATTCCCACATGTATGAATTTAGTTCTCAAGCATTCCGGAATTACTTGCATAAATGTTTCAAATAATTAAACGTACGGTTGCAACATAATTAACATTTATATGTAAACCAATAAAATTATTTTATTTATGGTCTGTTAGTTTGTTGTCGTAATAAAACTTATTTAGAAAAAATTGTCGTGATGAAAGCTTTTAATTATTGGCGATTTTTGATTCATTATTAGGTCAACCGTTAGAAAAAAAAAAATTGTGGCGACATCCTTTGAAGTTTGAACTCTGTTTTCCTTTAATAAATCGTCATTCCAGTTCGTTCACTTTCACATAATAAATACAGGAACCGATTATCACCGTTTCCTCGATTTCGAATGCATAATGCATGGTTATGTCGATTTTTAGCTGTCATAATTCCTGCTCCTAAATCAAGCCATGAATTAACTAACGACGTTCCAACACCTGATTAAACGAATTTGAATTTCATGTTCCCCGTTTCATTACGGAGATGTTCGCCTCATTAAAAACATGTGCTTTTCCGCCGTTATCGCATGAATATTTTCAATAAAACAGCGAGTTATTGAATTTAAATATCGGCGCACTCGTCGTAAATTACGTTTCTTTTTGAAATAAAATTAATAACAGGGAGGGATTAAGGTGTTTTATGTCGTGCACGCGGCGATCGCAGACAACAATGCGGACGAATTAAAAACCAATTTCGCTTTTCGCATGCCGATGGAGTGTAATGAGTGTCCAAGCGTGGCCGTCATAAGGAATTTTTCTCTGATGGTTGTTGTTGTTGTTTTTTTTTTCTGTAGAACAGGCGGCGTGAAAAGGCTGCACGAGTACTAATTTTACGAAGCGTAGCCTGCAATTATACGTGTAAACCGCACATTATGAACAGAGACTTGTTCTTACTTGTTATCGGGATATCTCGACACGGACGGAGAAAAATTACATAGATTGGAGGGTGCGTGGAGGGCGTTACATGATTTGTTTGTTTAGAAAGAGGAAAAAATTAATTGAAGAATTTTATCGGACGCGAATACTGGTTTATGGACGAGAAAAATCGCAAGTGGTTTTTGGTTTTTTAGTTCTCAGATTTAGATCGATTTTCATAGATTTTGCGCGAATACGAATCTTGTAAATGCAAATTTTTCATCACAAGAAAAAAACTTATTTTGAGATTTGTTTTTTTTAATTACAAAAAAATATATAATATTTTACTGTCTCTTTGGAGTTATACAGTGTGTGGAAGAAAGCCAAATCCGATTATTACAAAATTTGGGTATTTTATTTAGTTTAGAAGAACTTCTAAATTTATACTCGCCAAATTTTATAAGAACAACTTTTTTGGAACATTTTTTATGGCTATGCTCTAATAGAATAATTTGATTGAATTCATAGCTTTTCAGATATTACGTTTTTTATTCGCGTGTTCAGTGTTGTTTTGGGAAATTAGTTTAGACTGATTTTCATAGATTTTTCGCAAACACAAACCTTGTGTGTTCTTCGACAACTCATTTTTATCACAAGAAAAAAAAACAAATTTTGAGATATATTTTTTACTTACACTGTTTTATTGGAGTTATACAAAAATATACAGGGTGTTTCGTTTTTATTGTTACGAATTGAAACAGGTGATTGAATTTTACGACAAATGTTTCCTTTAAACATGGTAGGGAAAATAGTTACACTCCCTGAAAGGGGCGTTTTTTTTATATTTCAGAACTATTTTAGATAAAATTACAAAATTTGGTATAGTTAAACGACTTCAAATACCAAAAGCCAAAATTTTTAATCAGGAGCGTCTTAAACTGGGAGGGTTAGTATAAAAAATACTATTTTGGCTACAGTTTCAGCAAAAAAATCTTAAATTTCATAGTTTCTCACAAAAAAGAGGTCTCTTGCGTTGTTTTGATACAACTTACCATTTTTGAGCAAAATTAATTTAAAAATTATATTACAGACCATAAAAAGAATTAAAAGTAATTTTTTTACCGTAACCCTTCCAGTTTTTTAGGAGCTCCTCATTAAAAAAATTAAAAATTTATATAACTGATCTTTTAATTGGTTTAGTTGTTATCAGCTGTCTAAAATTTTGTAATTTTATCTTTAATGGTTTCTGAAATATTGTGAAAACCCTTTCAGGGAGTGTAGCTCTCTTATACAGCATTTTTCGACACATTTTCATAGAAAACTTTTGTTTTTAAATTGAATATTCTATCAACCGTTTAAATTTGTAACAATAAAAACGGATCACTTTATATAAATAGTTTAAATAAGTCAAATCCGATTGTTAGTAAATTTAAAAACATGCCAAATTTCATAATAACTTTTTTTGAACTTATTTTTTTAGTTATACGTCAATAGAAAAATTTGATCGAACTCACAACTTTTTTAATAAAATTACAATTTTTGAGATTTGTGTGTTCAAAAATCGACCATTGTTGTTTTGAAAAATTAGATTAGATTTAGACCGATTTTCATGGATTTTTCATTGTGGGTCTTTTGGTAACTTTTTATCACAAAAAAATTAAATGTCATTTATCTTTTAAATTACAAAACAAATTTGTATAATTTCCGGTGTTTTTTTTGGGGTTATACAGTGTTAAATAGAAATATATCTCTAAGTAGTTTAAATATAACTCAAATCTGATTGTTACAAAATTTGGGTATTTTTATTTAGTTTAGAACTTTTAAACTCGCCAAATTTTATAATATTTTTTTTGGAATAATAGAAAATAGAACAACTTGATTGAATGCACAACTTTTTGTTACGATTTTTGAGATTCGTGAAAATCAAATAGTGCTGTTTTGGGACAATAAATTAGATTTAGAGCGATTTTCATAGTTTTTGTGCGTATACAAACCTTGTGTGTCCTTTTATCACAAGAAAAAAATGTAATTTTGTGGTTTATTTATTAAATTATAAAAAATATATATTTTTTCACTAATCTTAGCAGTGAAGAACAAAAATATATTTTTGTTGTTGTATAAAAATATAATTTTGTGGTTTATTTTTTAAATTATAAAAAATATTTTTTTTCACTAATCTTAGCAGTGAGGAACAAAAATACATTAGTAGTTTAAATATGTCAAATCCGATTATTACAAAATTCTGGTATTTTATTTGGTTTACAAGACCTTTTAAACTCACCAAATTTAATAATAAGTTTTTTAGAACATTCAGTTATGACAATTTTTGAAAAAACAGCCCGTGCTGTTTTGTGAAATTAATTTTTTTTTATGTTTAACATTAAATTAAAACATGTGTTCACCTGGGACGCCGTCAGCAATTCAATTAAACCAAAACAAATCGTATTTTAATATTGACAGTCCGACAATGACACTGAGTTATGTATGTTCGACGTGACGATGCGAGAAAGCACCGTTTTTTCAATCCCCATTCGAAATAATTTCGATTCGTGATTTATGATCGTTTGATTTGAAGAAGCGTTAAAAATTTCGGGTATCCTAGACTGGTGAAAGGCAATAAATCAGGAAATTTCAAAAATTATCGTGGGCGTTGTCTGGGGTCAAAATTCAGTGATATTTCAGCATTACGCTGAAATTTACTATTGCAAGTTAAGCCGGTGACTAAAGCCGTTTTTTCACTTAACGGTGTTTTTTAAAAAAAGGCAGCGAGCGTTTAAACGGCAACAAATCTCGGTTGTGGTGCTGCCGACTGGTTTCAGTAATTTTAACGAGCGCTTTTAATGATAAACGGCCCTGAAATAACAATAAGTCGCACGAAGGCACCTAAATCATGCAATTGGTTCCAGGTTCCGGGGCCGTGGCCCTGGCCCATCTGGACGGGTCCGGGACGGACGAGGCTGTCTGTACCATGGTCCAGAGAGTCCAGGAATTGGCTTTGGGGTATCCCGAGGGCCGCATTGAGCTCCAACTGATCGGGGGATTCACCGACCCGAGACACTACTCCGAAGAACTGTTCTATAACGTGATGAGTAAGTGGTTAATCGAGCCATAAAATAAATTCTTGCCGGGATTATTCACGATATCTGCAGATGCTTTGTGTTCGAGGAAATTAGTTTCCAGGATGGACCTTCGGTTTAATGCGTTTCGGACCGATTTAGAACGAGATAATGGCAGCGGGATTATCGGCTGATTTTTGCGATTTGAGAGACCTAAAAAGCATAAATCGTCGACTTGTTTGAATAGAGTGGCTTATCGCAAAGATGATGTTTGTATCTTTTGTTGCGATATTTAGCAATAAATCACGATTATAACGTCAACAAATACAATCATAAATTCATTATTATTTAAATGATACAGCGATCGACGATGGAGAAATGCGCCTTTGTTGCCAGCGAGGAAAGGAGATCGGCTTGATCGGCACGTGATCCATCAAATGCTAAAAAATAAATCTCATCTCTTTCAAATAACTTTCTACTATTAACGGTTGCTTAAAAACTCACCACATTGCATGTGGTTTAAAAATACAAAATGCGTTCAATTAAATTTCTGATCACAGTGGCCTGCGACTTTGAGTTGGCAACATTGAATTGAACAATGTATTTTTTTAAAGACACAAGTTATTGCATAATTGTAAATGATTTTATCAAGTAGACCAAAAATCTGAACTTTTAATTTGGCAACATTGACTGTCAAATCCAAACGTCACTATTTCATAGCCTTCCGAGGGACGGCCACTGGAATAGTCTTGAAGCAATTTAATATCATCATCATTCAGTATTGCCAATACAAAAATTGCCAAAACCGCATATGTCTACATTATTTAATGTTGCCAACATAATTTCAAAGTTACACTGAAAAAGGGGACGCGTATGCATCTAAAAACGTCCTCACCTAAGCCGGTTCAAAACTAAAAGTTGCAAGCTAAAACCGTTCACTCATAAAACAATAAAATGCTAAAACCGTTCATTAATAAACATTCAGCATCAAAAAAGTACACAAATAGATTAAAAACTACCAAAATTGTTCATTTATAAAAAAAAATGTATAAAACAAAACATTGCAACGTTAAAAACGGAAATCCTTATAACAGTTTTCTGTATTAAGGATGAAACGTACACAAACCAGAATAACTGTAAAACACAAATAAACAGACAATTTTTTACTATTATAACAAGTACTTTAAAAATGACTATAATATGTATTTATTTAACCATTTTTATTAATTTTAGTTTCCTAAATTTTTATGTTTGATTTAGTGCCAGGCTCTACGATTTAATGTCCTTGTAACATTTTCAATAAATATTTTTGTAAAAGGCATAAACATATCTTTGTAAAACAATAAATAAGAAAAAAATATTAGTATGGTAATCTCAAAAGTTTAAACAATTAATTAGAATAAAAAATATTTTGGCGTTGCTCCTTTTCAACCTTTAAACATTTATTAATTTATTTTCAAAAAAAACTGGTAGTTTACTCAGAAAAAATTCTTAATTAATTAAAAATTAATTCATTTTTGTAAGTCAAATATTTTTTTAACAAAGAGTGAGGTTTAAAAAAAATTGCACAGCAACAATTCTTGTGACAAGCTCGTTGTCTAAAAAAAATTGTGGTAGGTTTCCATTAAAAAAAATGTTACTATGTTTATCTCGTAAGTATAAACAATTAATTAATACTTCTTTTTTTTTGATATCATTTTTATAGCCATTGCACACCTATAAAATTATTTGCCAAAAAAATTTTAACTTTCCCAGAATAAAATTGTTTCCAGACTGTTGGACCAGCCTGTATAGTAGCATAAATAACTAAACTAGTACCAAATTTAGATTCCTAATTATGATTAAAGTTACTGTATTGTTTCTAAACGCCCAAAAGCTGGCATAATTTGGCTTTTATAGGCCTTTATTTTTTATAATCAATGAAACATACGGAATTACAAAAATCTATAACAACGGAAAAATAGGCGATCTCGATTTTTACATCAAATTCGCCGGAAATAAATATTAAATTTTTATTTGAGGGAGGCAAAACGCAATACAAAATACAATAAAACATGGTATGTACCACGGGCATAATTGTCGATTATAGCCCTCAGGAAATTAAAAGCCTTCCTAACGTCAGGCTTTAAACATTCCTTGGGACCATAATCTTATTATTATGTTCTTGATACATAAATAATAACTATTTTTTTTTTATTACAATTTGAATGTATGTCAATTTTTGTCTGTCTTTCAATGTTTTCGAATTTATGGGATTGCATGGTATTTCATAGAATATAATACTCCAAGTAATATTCTATTTGGCGTTTAATTTTGCTTTTATTCTTACTCAATTTTTAAGGAAACAACTGATCAAATGACTAGAGCATTAATTAAAAATATCTTATTTTTTGGTTGGTTTTTTTAACGGAATCAAAAAATACCAGGTAAAAATCAGTATTGCTAGAACAAATTGTCGATGGGACATCCCTGAGTTATTACTTGAAATTAAAGTGTTACCGACGTGGTAGATTCCTTTTTTTTCTATTCTAGTTTTGATCAGTTTTAGTCATCAAGTGATGAAATAGAGATTTCCTTTTTGATGTTGACCTTTTGTTTTATACTTTTTTATACATGAACTATTTATTTACGATTTTGATGCTGAACGTTTTAATAATGAACGGTTATAACAGTTTTTTTCAGTTTTTTTTAAACAGTTTTAATCGCGCATTATTTTATTAATTTTTTTTTGTTTAGCATCGTTTCACAAGCACCCTGTAGAAATCGACTTGACCCTCGCCTGCGTAGGCGAACTCAACACCACGATCCGCGGGGGCATCCACTGGCCGATAATCTACGGCATAGGAGTGAACACAAAAACGGGGGAGATTTTCCCGGCGACATTCCCCGACAAGGGCCCCGATCAGGCGTTGCGTTGTTCCCGTTACCTGACGGGAGTCTCACAAGTAACCCTTCAACCCTCTTAATTTCCCCTAACCGAACGTTTTGTGCAGGTGTTAGACATTTACGACTGCAACTTGGGGCTGCTTAGGATCGGCCCTTTCAATTACGAGCCCTTGCGAGGGGTGGACTTGTGGCTGGAGCAAAGCGACGACTTTATTCTGCAACACTTATCGACGTCGCCCGATGTGGAGCCCCCACATTTCGTCATGCAGGTGCGTATTTGGCGGTTTAAGGGGGGCGTGAGGTGACTGAGTTGCAGGTGAGGGCGACCCTCAAGTACATACAGGATAACCAGTTCCCGGCGGTGACCGTATTTAGGGACAATCGGCCCCACTATTTCCGGAGAGATGAGCATTCTGGGATTTGGACACCGGTGCGATATTGAGACGAGACAGAGAATCTAGATATATTTTTACAAATTTAAATATAGTTCTATTTTAATCCCAGTAATTATTGCAAATGAACTTTTTGTATATACTTAGAATATACGAGCAGTTTCGACGTGTTGAAACCTTTTTTTGATGATGCTTTTTCTAGTTAATGTTTTATAGAATATATTTTTGTGATTTATCAATTTGTTACTATGCTGTAATTGTTAGGTTTACTGCCAGTGGATCGAATAAATTTAAGTTGAGATAATTTTTTGTTAAAAATAAGACACTACATATTTAAGTTTTGTTAATTGGGTTGTTGAATAATAAATACTTATTGCTATTGCTTAACACATTTCATTATATTTCTTCACGCGTTTACATTCACCAAAAAAATTAAGTTATAAGTTGTAATTACTACAAAATGGTAATTAAATGGTAAATGCAATTATTCATAAACTACGAAATAGTTTGTTAAAATTGAATCCGGTCGTAATGTGAAAAGCCGCAAAATTAATTCATTAAAATTGCAACTGTCATTAATTAGTTACACAGATTTATAACAAAACAATTTAATCACATTCCCAGATAAACCTAATTAGTTTCACTGATTTGCTGTCAACAAATTAAGCCAAATAATTTAATCGATGAATTATTAATCAAACTGGTAGCAAAATTTCATTTTAATCACTCCAAAAAAGCAACACGTTATAGAAACCTGTAATTTTTTAAATTTGTTATTTATGATTAATACTATTTTACTTCTTGCGGTTAACCCAGTTTTACAAAATTTTCCACTTACTAACATAAGTTTTGTTGTTTTATTGTTTAATAAAACAAAAAGAAATTAAGACCAAAATTATAGAAACCTGTAATATCTTAAGTTGCAGACTTGTCACTTGATGGTGCCACCCTATCTTAAGTTTCAGTTTTATTCAATCTGATTTTTTTATTACGTCAGACTTTCTTAACTCGAATAATTTGAGTATAAGCAAAATTAGCAGTAATTAAAATTAATTTCTTTAAGTATTTACGATTGAACAATTTTTGTATAAACATTAGGTTGAATGATAGTAGTGGAGACCTTTGAACACCAAGCAGAGTGGCGCAGTGGAAGCGTGCTGGGCCCATAACCCAGAGGTCCGTGGATCGAAACCACGCTCTGCTACAATACTTTTTTTCGATCAAAATCAGTAATTAATTTTGCTTCCTGCGACTGAAGCAAAATTAATTAAACGAACTTCATTACAAGCCTTTAATCTCTGGCGGGTGAAATTTTAGACCGTAATATAGTCTACGAGATCGACTTTAATAAAAGAATTCTGTCAACAACAGAAAATTTTAATTTATTTTCTATTCAGTTGCCAAGTCACGTTTATGCCGTTTTATCACTTAATCGTGAGTCTTGTAAAGGGCTTTATTTTCTTATTTAAAAGTATTTTTTGACGATTTTATTAAGATTGTCTGTGCTTACGAATATTTTTCGTGACTGTTTTATTACGATTTATAGCTTTTCAACCGGAAATGAAATTACGCGATTTGGGCTTGTTCTCTGGCGAAATTTAGGCCGAAAGTAGACATGCAACGTCTAATTAGCCCAATTTTCGGTCGATGGAAGCTTTATAATAAATTTTAGGTCACAAAGACAGAAAAATGCGGTTTGTTCTCAAACAAAACACGTAATTGGTTGAAGACCTGCGACGTAAACGCAAGATAAAAATTCGCTCGTCGGGTTTCTCCTTCAAAACAAGGTCTTATATTAATAATAACTGAGAAATGGATTTTTCACAACTTTTATAAACTACGTGACAGTGAAATTACATTTGACCCATTTTTATGTCACATAGTTTATTTTTTATAAGTTAATTTTAATGAGTTATTTTTACGAACTCTCTAAGTCGGTTTTAAAGTTAGTTACAAGTTCCCGGTAGAAAATATTCTGGCTTTATTAACTTGCTTAGGAAACTCTTGAGGCATTTAATGAAAGTTGACAAAAAGTTAGTTTTTATTATATTACTGCTGGTATCGTTTTTTTTTTGTTCCGACAAATATTTATTATAGGCTTGGTGAAATAATGAATGTTTAGTTTATTGTTCGATATTTGAGAAATTAATAGAATGTCAATATGCACGGATTATTTATTTATGACGCTGTTGCCATGGTTACTTTGATGGGGTTGGCAAAACTGTTTATTTTTCCTAAGCAGGCCCACCAACGCACATAAAAGCCAACTATGTTGTAAAATAATAACTATTACGTGTTCCAAAACAATGTTGCAATATAAACTCATTTCACCCAAATTACCAGCTAATTAATAGGCGAATTTGTGCGAAATCGGTATTTTAGGGCTTATTGCTTCCATGTTAGGCAACATTAACTATATCGAAGACCCCATTGACGTCTCTAATCATATCATGTCGTAAAATGTTAATTATCCATCATCACAAAGTCGATTGGTTTATGGTCAAATAACCGTAAAATATTTACGACGCCTCAAATTGGTAGCAGTGAAGCGTCAACAGTGCCCTTTACAATTACAAGATGATTCGGAATGTAATTTCAATTATCGCAGCTAAAGTTTTGATAAGTTCCTTCCGGTTTGTTATCCGGAGTAATCCGGCGCGCGCGCGAAAATAAGAAAAACAAATTAATCCCAACACTGGCGTGACACAGAGACCGGAACGAAACGAGAAAGCCAGACAGGACAATGAACTAAACGAGCTTTCGGGGCGTGTTGCAGAGCTTAATTATTAGGGATTTTTTCAATGAGAGCGTTTAATGGGTGTTTGGAGCGATGCTCTCGAATGCAGCGGAATTTTTTAATAAAAATATGTATGTGCATCGCCAGCTGTGGTGAAAAGCTTAGATTTGCTGCAATGTAGAAAGCTTCAAATTATTTTAAAAAAGTTTGTCTAACGGTTTAGCACATTGTTTTTATAATTTTTTACAGTGTTCTCAAACATGAAAACTTGTAAAAAAATTTAAAAAAGAATTATGAAAAATAAAGAGCTTTATCGATTTGAAAATGTCTTTTTAATATTTCACGAGTATTATACAATATCTAAAAAAACTCTACTTTAAATTTGACTCTTTTGTTAGGAACTGAAAATATATAGGATTTAAATAAACGTTTGTATATCAAGAGTGAACGTATGTCTTGAATAACAACATCAACACCTGTCAGTTGCCCGTCAAATTTATCAATTTTTCTTGTTTAGCTTTAAATATTGAGTTATACTCATTTTTCCTAAAACAAACTAAAAGTCAGCATTGACAACATTCTCGTGAGCATCAGTACAATGTTTCATATACCCCCTATAGTATTTCGTAAATGTTTTGACATTTTATTAAATGTACTCTATGAAATTTCCACAACACGATAACATACTTTTTTATGAACACTTTGTATATTTTAAACAGAATTTTTCTACAATGTCTACGAAAATAGAAACATTTTTGTTGACTTCCAAAAAAATTAAAAGAAAAGAATTATGAAAAAGTAATCAAAACTGGATATTAATTTTAATAAATAAAACTAATTTATTTACAACTTAACTCTTTTGTGAATAACTGAAAATGTACAAGATGTTTATAAAAGAAAAAAATCAAGAGTGAACATAGGTCTTGAATAACAAATAACATCAATATCTGTCAAAACTAATTTTTGAACATCTGTCTTGCTTTAAATATTGTAATATGATATTATAAATATAAACTTAGCATTGACAACATTTTTGTGAACATCATTACAATGTTTTTTATACCTTCTGAGTACTTCGTAATTGCTTTGACATTTCATAAAACATAACAGTCCATGCAGTCCATATAAATTTAACAACACCTTCTTTTGCACCTTGTATAACGTGTTTCAAAATGATTTGTATCTAGTTGCCTATGGAATTTCTTAAGTAATTTTTTGTGCCCCTCTACTCTTTTTGTTATTTCTGTCAACAGTGACAGCTATAAAGCAAAATAAATTAATACTTAAAGTTAATTAGGTTCAATATTTATTAAAGCGGCTTTTACATGGAAAGTCCATAGTGCACTAAATGAAAATCATTTTGAAACACGTTACCGTATATCTTTTAGTTTTAATTATATTTATATTGTCTTAATTATCTTTTTCTATAGCAGATGTTAAACTACTTTTTTATCAACACTTTTGAGCAGATAAAGTAACACTTTAACAGCAAGTGTAGATAAAATGTTTTAGTAACCCATGGTAACGGAGCAACATAATTGCTATTTTTGTACCAAAAATTGTAATTTAAATTTTTATTTTTTTTCTTAAACTTGAAGTCTTACTATAGGAAAAAATTTAGTATGATACACAACGATAAAGACTATTTATCTACTCATGAATTGAGTCTACAACCTTTTCACGCGTAGATAAACAATCTCTTTATCGCTTTATATACTGCCCGCCAAAATTAACCAGACACCTAAAATTTTGGGATTTTTTACATTCCAATATTTTTGTTATTCTTCATCGGATAATAAATAACTATTATGTTATTCAATATTTTAGCAATAATAAATAATATGCTGTTTATTATTATAGTTTTCAATCTAGATTTGGTGTTCTCCGGTGTTGTAAAATTATTATTAAAAACAATTAAAACCTATAGAATTGAATTTTTTTTTACTTGATAACAAAATAAAACACTGATTATTGTAAAAATTTACAAAATATTTTTTTATTAAAGTAACAGACATATTTTATTTGTAAATTACTAAACATACCCAATGAGGTACCTACCGAAAAAAATTCGTTATATTTTTTAAACTTTTGAAATTTTAAAATGTTATAAGCACATAATGCGTAACAGATTACTTTATTTACAAATTGATTCAGATGAATTCAGTGCTACTTTTTTTAGTTTAGTCTTAAGAAAAAAAGAGATAGAGTAATAGTAGAGTAACATTTTTCGTTTTATTATTTTTTTGTTATACAGAGTGTGCCAGAACTCGCGCCCCAGAAAAAAATGACATATAAGATACCACGAACATGGAAAAAATGTTTAAAAAAATATCTATAAAAATTTCGAAGTTATGAGAGTTTAAATAAAAAAATAATTTTCCAAGTTTTTTTTCCACAGGCTATTAGAAGAGAAAACAAGGAAGATGTATTCTAAATTGTAACTCTGTTCAATATTATTTGTGGATTTTATTCGCAAAATTTTTGTATCTTTACTAAATAATAAAAATTTTCGACAGATAGAATTTTTTAAACATTTTTTCCATTTTTGATATTTTTTCTTACTTGAAATTTTTCCCTGAGGCGCGAGTTTTGGCGCCCCCTGTATAGGGTACTTAAAAAATATAGGATTGTTTTTCATCATTTTAACAAAACTG